GTAGCTGGTATGGGGCCGAGCCCTCAGGCCCCTCGACTGGCTCCCCTCTCCATGCTGGCATGCTGCATTCGCATCCCGGAACACTGGATTTAAGTCTGGTCCCTCTTTCCCTCCCAATTTTCTGTTCTGGCAGCAGGAGCTCTAGATGGCTGAGTCTTAACTAGTCGTCATTTTCCTCTGACCCCCGCAACCTTAATTCTTAACACATAGAGATATAAGTACATAGATCTACTTTCCTCATTATATATACGTATATCTACATATGGACATGCCTGTATTTAGACCTCTATAAATGTCCTTTGCTTCCTGTTTCTTTCCTCTATTTCCTTTTACTTTCCCTCTTGTCCCACCATCATGTTCAGCCTTTATTTGGGTTTAGTAATTCCTAGCTGCTACATTGCCCTTCATTAAGTCCCACTAGGCATCCTATGCCCTTCTCGCCATTGATTTTTAGCTCACTTGTTGTTCCCTCCTCCCTGGGTTGGTTCCCCACCCCACCCCGTCCCCCAATCCTTCCTTTCTCCCACCTCCCTTTCTCCTGTATCCCCCCAGAACTATTGGTCCCATTCTTTTCATCTCCGAATTGTTTATCCTGCCTATCTTATCTAGATAGACATGCAGAGACATTAATAAGTGTGAAAACCAGGCAAAGTCAAACAAAACAACAAAGGAAGTCAAAACCAACAAAACAATAACAACTAAAAAAACCAAAACCAAAACAACAACAAAAAGAAAGCCACTGACAAAAATGGAAAAGCCTATAAATAGTTCAAAGTCTATTTGTTGGCCTTTACCAGTGTTTTCCAGTCGAGTCTGATGGGGTGTCACACTCTGCCTCCAAAGTCTATTTTTGGTATTCCCCAGGATTTCATCCCTTTGCCTCCCTTGAACAGCCCAACTTTTATCCCACAGTGTCACCAGGGCTCTGTACACCAAATAAGTCTACCCACTTACCCTACTGATATGATAAAAAGGAAGTAAGTTTTCTTTAGCAATATTTTGTAAATATAATCTCGAGCTCACAGATATAGTATCACTTAAATTTCATTTTAAATGATTTAATGAGCATCCTGGGTGGTACAAATGATTAACGTGGTTGCCACCTGAAAGGCAACCAGAGCACTTCAGGAGAAAGCGTGGAGCTCTACTTTCCAAACTTGGAGCCACTGGAAAATCCTACGGGGCATATCCTACCCTACCACACATGGGGTTACTAGGCACTGAAGGTGACTTGACAACGACTGGTAAGGGAAGGTACACCAAAATGGAAAATAAATCAGCCATTAAGTTTACCTCCCTCTGTGGGTAAGGTTTCTGCAACCCATGGTCAATATATTAGTCAGAAAAAAAAAGAACAGGTTTCTCTTAGGTCATTTTCCCCACTTTTTACATATCATGCCTTAAGTTTGTTGGTTATCTGGATTCTCACTACTGAGCGGAATGATCTGAATAAAGTTTTACCTTCAAAACTCATTTTGATTATTTCTACTTCAAAATCGATAAAATATGCCTTTCTAACTCTAAAAAGAAAAACCGAAGGACTAGTGAAAAAATGAAGATGACTCAGGATGTAAGTTCAACAAACAAAAAGCCTCTGAAACAAAAATAGGCCCAGGAAGGAGGTAAAAGCCTAGAATGACATTTTACACAATATAGTGGTCAGAACCCAGACACTGGAACAAACAGATAATAATGTAAAAGAAAACCA